CTCTGTCCTTAGTTCTGTTTTTGGCAAATCAGACGAACTCGAGGTRATTTCTCTGACTTTGCAGACAGGTGAGAGAAACGGAATCAGAGAAATCTCCATTTCACACCTCGGAGATGTTTTCCTGGTGTCTYTCGCGTCCTTTCAAATCCCTCGGCAGCTCTGGCGATTTTCAGCCGCCGCTTTCCGCGTTCAGTTCATGAAATATTCAAACTCAGCACTCACTGGCGTTATTTGAGCATTAATATTGCAATGTGGCCTAAACACGTTGTTCAAAACATTTTGGGATCTTCCCTGAGTCTGTCAGGAGGAATTAAGAACTTGTTGAGGTCCAAAAAAGTGGAAAAACCTGATGATTCCTCCTAGTGTTGGATCTTGTTGGAGGAAATTTTTGAATTCTGTATAAACTGATAAACTCATGGTTTTTCCCCTAATTCGTAGAGGACAGGGTGGTTTTCCTGACGGCTTTGGAACAGGGAATATTTTGATTTTTACTCGGTTGGGAGTAATGAAAAATGACGCGACTCGCGCTTTAGACTCGAGCGAGTTTATCTTGGAGCGCCGCAGATCCATCAGTTCGTGCAGTTTGGAGTCTGTAATAAAGATAAAACAACTGGCAAGTCATCATTGCCCCGAAAAATAGCAAAAAGAAAATGCTTGGGCTTTGAAAGCGTAATAAATTTCCAATATCTGGAAATAAAGGTTGGAAATGACAAATTGCCATATTTCTCTAAGAGTGTTGTTTACYAGTTTTAGATTTCGATGGATTCTTGATTAATAGAGAAAAATCCGTGAAGTGGCCATCAAAGCACAAAACTAATATTTTTCAGCTTTTCTCAGCGTGTTGCTGTTGTGTCTGAATTAAAAGGTGCTTTTTCCTTAATTAACATCCGCAGGTGTTTTTCAGGAGCAACAGAAATGGATATTTTGAAGTAAACAAAAGAGGGAATTGTTGAGGATTTCGAATTGAATTACTCATCTTGTTATTGTGGATAACGGGGGTCATGCTGGGCAAGAGGAGAGTCCTGTGCCATAAATCCACACGGCAAAATTAGCAATTTGCTTTCCATGAACTTAATTAAAAAATGAAAAGGATGGAAACTTCTTGGAGTGCAGCAAAGTTTTATCAATTTTTTTTAATGTATTTTTGTATTTCTTGAGCTACAGAAAACTTTTTGGCCCTCAGAGATCCTTGGGTCTTAAATTTCTAATTCCATTTCTACATTTCAAATTAYATTTTWTAATTCTAATTGGAGGGRGGAGCCAGTTGTATAATTGGCTTCKCTTRCTGAACTTGATAWGATGGCTGTTAATTATGAATTTTAAGTCATTATTTAATTGATTTTTTTTTCTGTTTTTGCTTTGTGTTATGATGTTGTTATTCCTTGATTTTATGAGATGTGGATTAAGCATTTTAGGCCATCTTAAATGAAATATTTGATTTATTCACATGAAATATTTGATTTATTCACAGGTAGATTCCCTTTTGCTTAATCTTGCATGTAGGATGTTCAAAATTAGTTCAGCAAATAATAACAAATGCCCCTAAAATCTCACATTCTCTGCTTTTACAGAAAGAAAAGAGAGGAATAATAGGTGGAATGCAACACCAGAAATTTCTGGTGAAATATTTTCCCTTGGTCTGAAGTTCTGCTTGAGGGATGGTTGGAAGGGATGGTTTGATCACRTATTTGGTTTCTGTACCTCCTACCYGCRCCTCAAAAATTCTAAATTAATAAAAATTGCATTATGTGGGAACATCTTAGGGAATTCTTTTTGCTTCTTGTGGTGTGATTGCTCCTTGAGGTGATGTGGTGCCTTAAATCTGATTTAGCTGGAATGTACCGCAAACATTATTTTGATTAAAGTGACTTCAGGACTGAAATGGTCGAAAATTTGTCTTACAGTGGTGCCTAAATATGATAATGTGCTAACAAAAATACTCAAATTCTTGTTACACCTCTCTGACAGCAATAAATCTGCTGAGATCCCTAAATCCTGGGTGGTTCGTTTAGCAGGATTTACCCATCCTCTCACAAAAAAAAACCACAGATCCATAAATTTCCTTCACAGCATTAAGTTAAGATTGTTGAAGTTCTCCACGACAGTGGCAGGGAGAGGCAGGAATTGTTGCTTTTTGTGTTGGTTGGGTGCCATAAAGCAGCTGAGAACATGAAATATTGYGAAGTGTTAACGCCGACTTCAACGGGAGCTGCTTCTGAATGCTTTATGTGCCTTTCCCAACACCGCCRAGAGAAGTGATTGCCTCGCGTGCCACACTTCATTAAATCAGCCACTCCACGCTTCTTAAAGCCCTATTTCATAATTATTTAGAAGGATTGGATTCCGAAAGATATCAATTGGGGAGGAAAATGTACAGCCAGCAGCCTTTTCTGCTGGCTCAGCACTTTTTGGAGCATTCTTTTYGGGATAAATGATCTTTGTTGTCTGGAGTTCTGTGCTCAAACACAASTGCTATTATCCTGAGCTTTTATATCTGCTGTAATTAAAAATGTCCCTTGAAGAATTCTTGTGGAATTCCTGGAGCATTGGCAACTTGTGCTGTTTAACTCCTCACAAATTGCAGAGGTGCCTCACTCTATTTCATTTGATTTAATTTATTTTTTTTTACCTTTGCCTAGATAATAATATAATTTATTACTGTAGATTCAGCTGATATTTGCTTTTATCTGGTACATGCTGAATGCCAGGGAAATGAATTTGTAATGCCAAGGAATAAAAAAAAAATAAAAAAAATCCTGCTGGAGGTTGATGCAGGCGAATGTTTGCGATCAGCGGGATCTGCCCAGTGTTTGTTTCATTAAGCTCCTACAAGCCACCCAATTATGGAACTCAAATAAATGGAAATGACTTCAAAATCCTGCTTATTTTGTTAAAAACTCTGCTGAATGTAAAGCAGCTGAGGTGGGTGTTTGGGAATTTTGTTTTGTGAGTGCAAATGGCCCTGAATGAAAGTTTGGTGGGTGCTTTAGGAACTTAACTCGTTTTGTGTGATCCTGATCACACAAATAAGAGTTGATAAAAAAGGCTTAAAATTTTTGTTTTAAGGTGCTGTCAGGAGCAAGGCAATCTAGGACATAAAAAAAGTTCCTTTTTGGCCTGAATTGTGTCAAATTTGATAATGAAATAGTGCAATTTTCTTTTATGGTGGAATGTCCTGCAAGGAAAGGGAAACAGAGGAAAAAACCCAAACAGTTAAATGGGCGATGTAGAGTTTTCTTTGAGGTGATCTGAGTGTGTTACGCTAGATTTAAATGAGAGATTAGGAAGAAAATCTTCTCATTAAAGATATAATTTGGTGTAAAGAAGATTTAGAAGTAAACATCTAGGTATTGTGAGGTTGTTTTGTTTTGGGATTTTTTGATGAGTTGTTTGGGGGTTTTGGGTTTTGTTTTGGTTTTTTTTTTTAATTTTTTTTTTTTGTTTTTCATCATCATAAATTTTTTTTTTTTTTTTTTTTTTTTTTTATTTTTCTCACTCATTTTTTTGTTTTTTTATTTTTAAATTTTGCAGAGTTCTAATGTGGAAACCTGTGGCTGAATTTTTCAGACATTCTATATGTAAAGTATATTCCCTTTGCTTTAATTACTCCACTCAGTGCAGCACAAATAAAGAGATGTTTTTAAGGGAAAAACACTTGAAGGAGGTCAAATCCAAGAAAAATCTTCCTTCAATCTCAGGAAGCATTAAATTCTCTCTCTCTGTTTCTCACCAGAAAAAAGCTGCTGAGACTTGTATTTTGACACTTTCTCCCTTTTTTTAGACAAAACATGATTTTTCTGATCCAAAAGACAACCAGCATGTTTTGACTGTGCCATTGATTTCATGAAGGATTTGTTATATCAATCCTGCTGGAATAATTTGGGGGACCTTGGGAAATCACTTAATGGAATTTGGTCCGTGTCTGCATAATCTTGACTTTTTTTTTTTTTTTTTTTTTTTTTTTGAGTAATTGAAGATGCTGCTTAATAAACTTTTCTAAAGATTCCCAGTTGGTTGCTGAATTTCAGAGGGTTGGAGCTGAGCACTGAACTAATACATCTTGTAATTGTCTTTTTACCTCCCTACCTCACTTAAATGCATTCCCTGGGGATGAATCTAATGTACTCTAATGCTGGTACCTTTTACAAAGTGACCCCACTCATTAGGATTTGTTCTCCAGAGCTCCCTTGACAACAGATAAATGCACTGAGAATATCGAAGCTTCCTCTCCATCACTCTTTTCCCTCTCCAAAAAAAAAAAAAAATCCATTTGAAAGCTGGCATTTCGTAGTTCCATTACTGCTCCAAGTTCCTTCACTCGAGTTTTTATTCACGGAGCGATTCCGTGAAAATGAGACACGGTTTGCTCGTCTCAAGTACTCCACTGAAGGTTTCAAATCTATTTATGGCTTGTGACAGATAAATATTGAGAATTTCCTGGGCCTGGAGTTGCCTTTATTAACTCTGTTGTAMCAGGTTCGATAACTGTTTTCTGTGCTGCTCTCAGACCGCGGGGAAAGGTTGATTATGGTTCTTCGATCTTGTTGGAGCTTGGGAAATGGATGCAGTGCTTGGGTTTGTGATGTGTTTCGAGGGAGGAAAGCACTATCCCAGTGCAGGGAAGCTTTTAGCTGAAAATTGAGGGCCTGCTGGTTGGTGGGAAAAGGATTTTCCTGGAAAAAATGGTTCCATAAAACCCAAAAAACCAAACGACCATCAGCGTTCTCTGCATTTTACTTAAAAATATCTTTTCCTGATTTAGCTGTAATTTATATGATTTCATGAACAGTGCTATCAAGGCTTTTGTCTATTCAAATTTTAATACTTCAGTCTGAAATAAACTGGTTTTTTTTAGTGAATATTTGTATTTATGTGTCTTAAGAAACCAAGAGTAAATATTTCTATGTTTACTTTTAAAGTGACCGYTCTGCTTTGAAACTACATTCCGAAACCAGTTTTCTACATTTCMCTCAATTGAAATCTCTCTCCACCTCCTGCAGAATGAAACAAGAGCAAATGTACATTCGGGATGAGTTTGGAAAAGTCCTGGATCGGGAGAGGATGTCCTCAAACGAGCACCTGGCCCGAGCCATCATCCGGGAGAGAGCGGCCACCGAGGAGGAGCGGCAGAAGGCTCAGCGCTTTGTGAGTGCTCAAATTCTTACTGAAACCTCCTATTTTCCAAGCAGCTCTGTCTTCAGGCCTGTTGGTATTAGAGGAAAGCAGATCTCTTCTCATTATTTCTTATTTTTTCATTGCTAGGTAGTAATGAGTCATTTTATTTTACTCAAATATCCCTCTTTGAATGGCTTTTGCTGGTTTTTTAAAGAGCTTTCACTGCTTGTTTCCAACTTTGGAACCAACTCAATGACAAATTCTGTATCAAAAAATCATCTCTCATTAGAGCTGATGGATCCAACCCTTCCTGACAAGGAAATTGGAACATATGGTTGGCTGTTTTCCTCTGAAAACTGACATTACACATTTCAGCCCCTTCCAAATGCCTGACAGATTTATAACTTCTTCCATTGAGTGTTTGCTCGCTGTAGTGAGTCTCTATTGACTCTTTTTACTAACAATAGTCATTATTCTCTGAGATGGGAATATRCCTTAAAAATAGAAATAGATAGGARTGAAATTGATATTTTCAAGKCAAAAAGTTTAAAATACTTAGTGAGCATTGCTATGAAAAGAAATGGGAATTACTCATGTCAGCAGCTCTGTAAATATTTGTTGGGCCCTCTAAATCTGGAGGTTTTAAAATTTAAATTTTAAAATTTAAGGTTTATGGATTGGTGAATCAGTAATCAATCACTTCAATAAGCAAAAGCTTCATCTATGCTGTGTAAGTAAAAATCTTTAAAGGAAAAATGTTTTTCATGTTTTCCAAATCCCAATTTAAAACCAAACTGATTCCACCCCAATGTTGGTGTCTTTTCCAGCCATTCCTCGATGCTTTTTCACCTCTGTGGTAACTTTATTGTTGAAGAATAATTTCAGTTATAAACACTGCACATTTCACTGTAACATAAACATATAARCACTATAATTTCAGTTMTAAACACTGAAATGATTAATTAATKAATTAATATTTTGTCAMTGTAAAACATGGGAACAAAGGAAAATAGAAAGGAATGGTGACTAAGGTACAGCCTCACTTATTTGCTTTAAATCCTTGGATTTTTAATATTGTGTGGGACAGAAGGATTTTGTGGCCTGGARCTAATGAGGAGTTGAAGATTTATAACAGGGACTGTTTTTTCCATCATTTCTTGGAATTGCATCTTTTTCTTCCTGATGGGGTGAACTCTGAGTTTGGGAAGCACAGGATTCCTTCTCCTCAGCCAAATGCTGGAGAAAATCSTGATTATGGATATGAACCTGCTTTATTTCGTTATTTTACTGATTTTATTGTTAATTTTCACTTGTTCAAGAATATCAAAGGTAGCGTTTGTGTCATCTCGGTTTTGCTCAATCTTTCATCAGTGAAATTTGAATATACCTGGTGGTTTTCGGGTGCAAGTTTATTTTCAGCACTGCAGATTTGCTGTTTCCACTGTGGCTTCTTCATTCTTTGAAATGTTCTGCAAGAAAACAAAACAGCAAGAAGTTTTTGTTTCCTTAAATATGAAATTATTGAATAATTCTCACTTCCCTTGCAAATCCTGTGAGTCACCTCCTTTGTTTTCCTGTAACCGGACAGATTTTCTTCCTTTGGCTTCCTGTGTATTTATTTCCTGCACCCAAGGTGAATTWAAAATCTGTACCAGAGGGAAATGTGTCTCTGTGTACCTTGTGTCAGGTGCTGTGAGTAATTCTGTGTTCTGCTAAACTGCTACAGTGGGTTTGTATTTTGTGTAGCCCAAATTTGATTTGTCAGACTCTTCTCAGAGAAAAAAAAATGTTCTGAAGTGTCAGTAGTGAAATAAATTCCTTTGGTGGTGCTAAATTGTTGAAATAGTGCAAAGGAAAAGAAATTATGGTGGGAAAGGAAGAATTTTAGTTTTCCTTTTTACAGCGTGCTAATTCAGGTTTTAATAGACATAAAATGAAGTAATATTTTCCATTCTTGAAGAATTTTTATGCCATAAAACTTATCATCTCAGAAAGAAAAAANAAAAAAAAAAAAAAAAAAAAAAAAAAAAAAAAAAAAAGATGAAGTGATGTGTTGATATCTGAACTAATTCTGTGCTGGGATGAGTCCCAGAAAGTGTCCTCTCAAGGGGACTGGGGGAAGGCAGCTCCTGCAGAAACGTATTTTGGGGAAATTCAAAGGTTTGCAAAGCAATAATTCTGACATTTGTATGAGAAAAATTAGAAATCCCTGCTCAGAACTGAATTTCCAGCCCCTGATCCAAACCCTGGCAATTCCTTGTGGAGGCAGCGGGAGGATTTAATCAGCTCCTGGTGCTGAACTCAGCAGAAATCCAGGCAGCTGCTGCCAGTTCCTTCAGCAATCCTTTAAACCCACTGATTTGGGATATTTTGAACACATCCTGACTTTTCCTGATCCCACAGCTCTGGAGTTGTGCCGTGGAAAAGCTGTGCCAGGGAGACTTTGGGTGTTGGGGAGGTCCTGGAACTCCTCTGGGTTCTCCTCATCTTTGGATCCTGCTCTCCATCACAGTAGGATTTTCCATCCTAAAGGAGCTCACCTGGGAAGGATGAGGGTGGGGAGGTCCTGGCACAGTTTTTCCAGAAAAACTGTGGCTGCTCCATCCCTGGAAGTGTCCAAGACCAGCCTTGGAGCATCCAAGATATCCCTATCCATGGCAGGGATGGAATGAGCTGATTTTTTGGATCCTTTCCAACCCAAACCATTCTCTAATTCCATTATTATCCTTTTTTTTTTTTTTCCCTTTGCTTTCCCCCTTCTCTGCAGAGCTGTTTCCTGTCCTGTTTTCAGGGTTGGGTACACAGGGTGCTTTGCTAATGAAGAATTTCTTTTTTTTTTCTCTGTCTTGTGAACAGCACCGTGGGTTTTACAAACCCATCCCAGAGCCTTTCCCAAATTCACAAAATCTGCTTTATAACAGCTAAAAAACAGCTCCAGRGAGGGAATTGCAGAGAGTGGGGAGGGCAAGCTGTCAGCAGGGAAAAAATGAGAACTTCTTGAACTGGCCTTGCCACCAACCAGGCTGGGTTTGTACCTTCAACTTTCCTCCCTTTGGAGATGTGACATTTCCAAAATATCTCAGTGTGGTTTCACCAAAGGACAAAGTGCCTCATGTGCTTGAAGTCATCCTCCAGCACTGCAGTTGGTTAAAAATATTTCTTTTTTCCACACACTTTAGTGAAAATACGATTTTTTTTTCTGCCCATACGTCTTGGAAGAGGCCTTTGGAATAAATCAAATCTTTTCTTTCAGCCATAAAGAATTTTGGTGTTGCTGTGGTTCTCTGCAGCAAGGGGTGAARTTCACTGCTCCAAGAGTACTTTTATTCTATTTTCTCACACAGAGCTGGTCTTTGCCATATTTATTATTGSAGATTTTTGCTGCAAATTTAAAAATCTGGCCTAGTTTAGGTGGGCACAGTCTTGTAGAGTTGCTTTCAATGTGGTGACTTCGCCATAAATAATTTATTGATGTTCCATCACTTGAATCATTATGAAAGTCAGGGTGAGATGGGGAGAATATGGAGTAAAAAATCAATAATTATCCAAAGTGCAGAGGACCTGTTGTATTTCCATCTCCACTTAATGACCTGGAGTTTACTGTGAACACATTTGCTCCTCTGTCTGGACTGAAATGAGTTGTCATTAGGAGCCTGGATGTCAGAAAATGCTTTTATTGAGCTGCCAATGACATTAAAGTCTCATTTCCCTTTGAAGAGGCACAGAAATATTGTTCTGTTCATGTGCTGTAACCAGAACATTAAAATTTGATTATTGCTATCATTAGAAGTCTGTATCCATGCTAATGCAATTAAATCTATTTGCCCATGTGTTGTTCCAGGCTTCCTTTGAAGCACCTGTTTGAGAGGGAAATCTGTTGCTGCTCAGGTATCTCGTTGCTTTGTCAATTATTTTCTGCACGAGAAGTTCTATCAAAAAATTCCTCGCTCCAAAAAAATCAATTTGCTAGAAGTATCCTTATATTAAAAAGCACTTGTTGGTTTGTTGTTTTTTTTTTTTACACTTTAGGTCACTGCGATAATCAGATTATCGGAGATTTTTTTTTTTCCCTGCAAGAATCCTATTTAAGATGTGAAGTTCTTTTACTTCTCTAAGCACTGGAATCGATAGACAAAACACATTCCTGGCCCTATCAGAGCTGAAATGTGTTATCTGTGAGCAATAAATTTGCCCTGTTGTCACAATTTGAACACAGCTTGTTAAAATGGATTTTGGTTTGATGTTTCCCCATCACCCCAGTGTTACTGGTCCCAGTCAGGACCTCAGTGCTGGCCAGTGACTCCCCTTTGGGGCTGAATTTATTTGTCCTGTCCTCAATTCATTAAGATTGTCGAAATTTTCCCTATTTTCCATAAACAGATTAAATCCTGACCCTTCCTGCTCTTTCCTCCCAGGCCTGGTCTAACCATATTTTAAGGATGACTTCACTAGGAAATACCAGTGGGGGAAGAATTACTAAATSAGTTAAAGCATTAGTTCTCAGGAGAAAATTCTGTTTACAAACCTGCAGTATTTATTACATAGCTCATTTAGCTCATTCATCATTTTAATCGAAAAATGAATCTTTTTAGATGATTCTGAAATAATTTGAGGTAAACTACACAGCCTGAGGCCAAACAGGATTGCTTGGTGCAGGGAGGGCTTTTGGAGAAGCAAAAGGCTGTAATTCACAATTTATGGCAGTAAAAATCCTAAAGGCT